TTAAATAATAACTTTTTTAGAGAAGAGTACCAATTCCCCTTTCCAAGATACCAAATTATTTGATCGAGAATCTAATTCTTTATAAAATTCTTCTGGTTCTCCAAACTTTACTTTTGCTAGAAAAAAACATTAGGATATATCTTGCAAATATCGTACCAGGCATTCCAGCAATGGATTGAAGTCGACGCAAACGTTCTTTTTATTAAATAAATAGCATCGTTAACTAACTGCTAAATATATACCTATCATAGAGGATAACGGTCCTCCACCACCATCTCCATTACCAAAAAGTAATAAAGAACGGTCAGAGTATTCCTTGTCTTTATTGTTCGAAACACTAAATGCAACCTCTTTTGGAGTAACTTGGGCACAATAGGTGTCAGCAGGACAAAAATGTGTTAAAACTGATGTCCCATCTAACCCAACCCAGTTAAAAGTGGTATTTGGAAACTATAGCAAAAATTTTATTGAAATAAATACATGATAATAATAAAGTTTACCTTATTAATATTGTTCCACGATAATTCTAAATTTAAAATTAATTAAAAAATATGAATTTCAATTTACTTTGAGTGAAAAAATATTTCAAGTCTGATTTTTTTATAATCTGGGGTAGCTGAGCCGAATAACCAAATGTATCTGGTAGCCAAAAAACTGTGGATCTTAAAAAAAAAATTATTTAATTAATACAGTATATTGGTATACCTTTTTCCGAAAGTTTTTTGAAAATAATTTTGCCCATATAAAAATTGTCTGCAAAAGGATTCACCTGAAGGAACCTCAAACAAAATTAAGGAAATGAATTTCGTTATACTTACATTACAATCCATTTCAACCCATGTTCCACCAATTGGAATAAAATTTCCTGATTCAACTTTTTTTTTAATTTTGTCAAAGAGTTTGGGATAAATCTGTTCTACCCATTCAAACTGCTGAGCTTGAGAGCAGCTAAATTTGTATTCTGGGAAACGATCCATTAAACCACACTGAGTTGCCTTCAATTTCAAAATAAACTTAAGCAATCAAAAAATAATAACTTTCTTACCCACGACCTTGCACACTTTCTTTTGGTTTCATCATATGGCCATAACCAAGCTGTATCAATGTGGCAGTGACCTGTTGCGGTTATTATGTGATCAGCATATCCAAATTCTTTTCTAGATTCAAAAAACTTCTCAGCAATTTCGAGCCCGGCAATAAGAGTACTATATTAAGCAAAGCCTTTAGCCTAATTCAGATAATTTTTCTTTTTACCTTGGTTCATCATGTTTGACGGTATTAACAATTTTATTTGCAGTGTAAATAGCATCAGCCGCTATCTGTGAAGTAGATGCAATATCCTTTGCTATCCCTCGAATAATTTCGAAATCCCATCTAAGAAAAATAACTTTATTTAAAAAAAATTTTTTAACACTTCTTTTATACAGCAAATGATGGGCTTCAACATTTGGTACAGCTATTTGAAAAGTTTCAATTTTAAAAGTTCTGTTCGGTAATGGTGCCGTTATAATTCCTGCTTCACCTCCAGGATTTCCAAACTATTGTATAAAGTTGGATGAACAATAAGGTGTTAAAAATTTTACCATTCCATTCAAAGCAACTTCTAGAAAAAATTCAATAACTTCACCTCCTTTTACGGAATTTGAAATTAATACCTCTATGTGTCGATCACCACCTAATCCTCCAGTAATTCCTTGTAGAGGTGTTCTTTATTTAATTTAAAGTTAGAAAGAAAAAAAGAACTAGTTCATATACCCACACTTAGAATAAACCAGCGCTTCACAGCCGGGGTCAAACAACAAAACAACTTGCTCATTTTTATAATCGGATGGAACTTCAAATACAACATTTATCCAATAGGTTGCCCAAGATGGTCCCATAACCAGGTCAGATTTGGTTCCTGGAATAAACTGATTTTTTACTGCCTCATGAAATGGTCTAAAAATAAAAAAATTGCTAAAAAAATTTAGTTTGATTATTCAATACATTCTATCATCAGGTTTAAAAAAAGTAAAATTTTCAATTTTTGTGTTCTTTTTCCATAAAGTTGCATATAAATTTACATCATGAAATTGATCTCTTAGAAAAAAAAAGAGGCAGTAATTAAAATATGTTTATTATTTTAAATAATTTAGATCGAATTTTACCTTGATGTAAATTTATCTAATCTTTCGATTGTAATATTTCGATGTTTTTGCATCTCTACTACTTTAAATCACCAAATTAAAAAATTTTTGTAAAAAATTAATCCACCTTAAACCATTTTATCTTTAGGACATATTCTGGATGCTATGTTGCTCACATATCCTGAGTTCTGAAAACCTAGGAATGAAACGCAGTGCATATCAGCAAGAAACCTTTAGTCCAGAGAAATTTAAGAACATTTTATATTAAATTATTGTAAAAAATTTTCTATTAGAAGAAGTGAATTGTTTTATATTAATCCTTTTAGTAAATCTACATCGATGCTTTTAATATTTACTTTCTAAAAATCTACGATATTATTTTACTTGGGACATTCTCTCCAAGTAACTCCATATGATTGCGTACTTGCAAATGTAATTATATCATTGCTCATATGACCACTTAAACCTGAAAGTATTTTGTGAGGCCAAAATTAAGTTATTAATTAATTTATTATTTACCATTTGCTCCAGTAACAGCGACATTAGTTTTAATATTTAAATTTGTTGTTCCAGTACAATCACTCCACACTTTATTAGCGAAACTCGATTCTTCAGCATATGACTGTAAAGCTAAAGGCCCCTGAAAACTAATATAATGGTTTAATTTTATCTAATTGAAATTACTTTTTGGAAGTCGATGACTGTTCTGTTGAACCTTGAAAGTAGTAAAGCCCACTGTGCATTCCAGATACTCCTTGCTGAAGTTCTACACTCCCTTTATCTACAAAAAAATTGTCCTATATTAACAACAAAATCATAAAAAACTATACATTGAACAGTTGACAAAGAAAACTGCCATCCAGGGCTATATTTAAAAATAGCATTAATTTGGCAACTTCTTCGAGCTTCAGTAGGAACAGAACCAGGAGCTAAACAAAAATTAAATTTATCCATTTTATATTGAGTTCATCTTACAAATTGAAGCCTTGAAACTAGTGTAGGTTAACGTAAATTTTGTTTTATCATCACTTAAAAAATTTGAAAGCGAATCTTGAGGACAACCACTGTAGAAAGAAATTAAAAAAAAGCTATATCAAGCTCCTTACCTGCCCCCATAAGTTATTGAATCGATGGAAACTGCAGGTTGTGAAGCTGCTGGTGCAAATTCAACAGAAAAAGCTACAGTCAAAGCTAAGAGAAGGGATGATAAACTAGTGGTTTTTGAGAGCAACTTCATTTTATTGGTATTATTATGAAATATTGAAAATAAAATTTTTAAAAGTTGACATTTGGAATGGATAAGGTCATTGCGGATTTAAGATTGCGTTAGGGTTTTGTGTTTTAGTTTATACTGTAAAATAATTTAAACACAAAAACTACACAAACCACAATCATAGACACAAACTTAAGCATGCAGGCGCTGTACCCATATTTAGTTAATAACTGTTTTAGTAGTGTTGTGGTGTTTTAGTTTAGTTTAAATATTAATACATTTATCTACAATTGTTAAGGCAATTAATATATATTATACATAAATTCAATTTAACAGAATATTCAAAAAATACAATTACCTTTATTTTTTTGGTACTTTGTTTTCCTTTTTTAACAAAATTTTAAAAATAGAAATACCACTTTTTAAACCTCTTTACATAAAACTTCTTTTATTTTAATTATAAACTACATAAAAAATAGAGTTAAATTGGTACCAAAATAAAGAAAAAGCAGGAAAAAGCAGAAAAGTAATGCAATATACTGCGGAGAGGAAAGCAAAACAAGAGTACAAAAGATAGTAACAGAGTTTTAGAATATCAAAAAAAAAACTTCCAAAAATTTATTATAAAAAGTAGCAAACCTTCCATAAGTATGAAACTACAATAAAATAAATTAAAAAAAATGAAATTCGCTGTTGTTGCTAGCTTGCTTTCTGCTCTTACCGTTGCTGCTGATGTCCCAGTTTCTGTAAGAAAAATTTGATTTATATTTAATGTATAAATTTTGTTAGGGAGATGCTCCTCCTCCAGGTTCAGTAACCATTGGCAAAGTTATTTATGGTGGAAGTGGTTGTCCTCAAGGAACTGTATCCCAAAATTTCAACTCTGACAATACTGCCTTTACCTTATTATTTGGTATATTAGATATTTTAATCTTCATATTAATAAATTCAATTTAGATTCCTATTATGCATCAATTGGCCAAGGTGTTCCTATTACTGAAGCCAGAAAGAACTGTCAATTCAATGCTGAATTAAAAGTTCCACAAGGATGGCAATTTTCTCTCTTAACTATTGATTACAGAGGTTTCTTGGCTTTAGATTCTGGAGTTACTGCTCAACAATCTTCCAACTATTACTTCCAAGGTAGTATCAACCAAGCCAGAAAAACTAGTACTTTTACTGAAGTTAATAATGGGGATTACACCATTAGAGATACTTTCGGTTTAGTTTCAACTGTTTGGAGCGATTGCAATGCCAGTGCCAATTTGAACGTAAACTCTCAAGTTAGATTATCTGGTCCATCTGGTAAAAATGGTTTAATCACTGCTGATTCTACCGATTTTAAAGTTACTCATAAGTATGGTATCCAATGGAAAAAATGTTAAATTTGTTTTTGATAGTGTGCATTATTTTTAGAAAGTAGAAAAAATAAAAGTTAATTTTTTTTCATTTAGAATTTTTTCTTTACAAAAAGCTGAATTTTTCTTGAATTTGCTTAGTTTACTCTCAATCTTCTTTTTTCTTGATGCAAATTCCCAATCTATTATCAGTGAACCTGTTAAAAATATTTATTTGTAGAATTAATTATGTTTATAATGTGAAATCAAACAAAAAATAAATGTTAATGTCCAGTCTAAAACAATGCAGAAGTTGATAAAAAAAACCGTATGCAGGACTTGAACATGCAACCTTTGGCGCCGAAAACCAATGCGCTAACCATTGCGCCAATACGGCAATTAGAAAGGAATAATTGAGGAGCTACTTAAATTTTAATTAATGGAAAATTGTCCAATGTCAAATTATTGAAGTCATATTGCCCAAGCACTAAGTGATACAAAGGAATGTTTATTGGCCAACAATGCTGCAAAATTTACTGAGGGGTGTGTTGATAATTATCTTTTTTGCAATTAATTTTAAACTTAACATTCTGCTTCATTTCCTTGAATAATGTTGTTTAATGTAGTTCTAATAGGTTCAGATGGTGTTTCAACATTTATACTAAAAAATTTTTAGAAAAATGGATGTACATTGTATGAGTCTAATTTTGATAAAAAGAGGATTTTCACCACTTTTTCAACACAAGCTTTTGTCGCCACAATTATTTTTGCATTTAAACTTCAAATAATGCAGAATTTTTTAATATTATAAAAAAAATTTTGATAATTTACTAGAAATGTGCATGAAATCTTTTTACTTTTTATCGCTGCTTTGTTTGACATCTGCAAAAGCTATTCAAAAAAATCCATTATTTCAAGATTTAACATTTAACAATGAATCCATTGTTTATTCAGGTAACATTCGATGTATTTACAAAAAAAAATAATGGTTTTTTGTAGGAAATGGCTGTCCTTTAAATAGTGCTTCTATAAATTTCAATTCAGATAATACTGCTTTCACTCTGTTATTCGATAAAATGATTGCCGTTTTGGCCCCAGGAATCCCAGAAATTGAAAACGTTAAAAATTGCAAAATTGATGTTATTTTGAATATCCCAAAAGGATGGCAGTTTACATTAACAACGTTCGATTACAGGGGTTTCTTGGATTTAAGTAAAAAAGTAAAGGGGAAGCAAGTATCTGCTGCATTTTTTAAAGACAAAAGTATAATCAACGAAAAAGATCTTCAATCTCAAGAAACTTTATTTGATTCTCTAAGCAATGGTATTTTTGATATATATTTGGTTCAAATTTTACCAATTTTTTCCAGGAGACTACACAATAAGGGATTCCTTTGCATTTAACAGCTGGTCTAGATGTGGATTAAAGGCTAAATTAAATATTGATACCAAAATCAAATTAAGAAGTTTAGCGGGTGCTGGTGAAACTGCTCAAGGATTAATTACTGTTGATTCCCTTGATTCTAAAGTATCTAATCGTTATAATTTGTTGTGGAGGACATGTTGATTTTCTTTCTGTTTTCATTTTTAGCTACAAATTTGATAATATTATTTTTAAACCAATTAATAAAATTAGATGCTATAAAAAAGCTCGATTACAGTAAATCGACAGTCCCTGGATAGTATTGAACTAGTACCATTTGTCGATTCTATTTTTGACCGCTTTCTTTAAAAGCACTGTGAAAATTCCAATTTGTTAATCAAAGCTAAAAATTAAATTTAATATTATCAGTTATGTTTGGCAATAGAACTATCTCTTTCTGCATTTCAAGATTAATTATTTACAGGTACTGCAACAAAAACTGTAGTATTAGTTTTTTATTTTACCGTCAGTTGCTTCAACACTATGACCACATGCAACCCCAACTTCAAAATTTTAAGTTGTTACTTATGTAACATTTTCTATAATGTTAATTTGTTTCCAAAATCATATTTAAAAAAAGGAGTACCTTCAGTATCAGCGTTGCTTATATTTAGAGGAAGACATTGATTGTGGAAAATTTTCCAAGGAAAAGTCAATAAATAGTGTTGGGTTGAAGTTACAATCAAAGGCAATCTGGCACATATAAGGACCCTCTAATTTTTTAGTAGAATAAAGGAATTTTTCTTGAAGTTTCAACAATGGTTTTCCGCAAAAATAAATCATAAATGAAAATTGATCTAAAAATTTTTTTTAAAATTATGACTTATCATTAAAAATCAAATCATCACTACTTTACAAAATATTTTTTTCTTTGCATGATTACCCCCATTACTATATTTTCTGCTGAGTTTGATAAATACTCAATCAAAACTTCTCTCATATTTGAATCATTTCATGAGCAAAACCAAGTCAAATTAATTCTCTGCGCCATTTTAACAAATGGAAATTTAGCTATTTTACATTTCGTTGAAGAAGATGCAACATTTAAGGTGCGATAAAATTTTTGTTCATATTAAACAGAAAATTGTAGTTAATACCAAACTTCCTTTTACTGGGTCACAAATCAAGTGCAGTGCTACTTAATTCGTGTAAAATTGAGTCTGACGAATTAATATCAATAAATCATGATAATGCTTTAATTTCTGTAGATGCTCAAGGCGAAATTATCATTTGGGATATTTTTGATGGTAGATCTTTGTATGTTAATTCGTATGCTTTTGATGGAGCTTATCCAACTGATATAAAAGTATTATTTGTTGTATAATTTTTTACATTTATGAGTTAGGTAACTTCCTCTGCGAAATACCTTTTTTGCGTTGGCCATAGCTTCAATATTTGTATATTTCATCTTCCCACGCTAGAAGTAAATGCTTATTGATATCAGTTTTAATGAATTATATTTGATATTTAAATAGAGTTTTAAGCAAGTTAACCTTTTTGATGATTGGATCTATTCTATTTATCTTCAACCGGCTGAGTCACATTTAAAAAACATTGAAGAAAGAGTTTTTATTTCAACTTTTTCAGGACAATTTCTTACTTACATTTTTGATGAAAGAAGTGGTGAATTTTCTGAAGATTCCCTAAAACCGCAACCGTTGCCCGAAGGTAACAGTTCGTTATTCAATGGTGGTTATTTGTGTGAAAATCGATGGGATTTAAATATGTTTGTTTTTTTAAGGAAAAATATTTGTTTTGTATGCAATACTTACAATAACTTTTAACTTTTATACAAAATTTAAAGGTTTATTCAATGAAAATTCAAGGTGTAAAGAACTCCTTGAAGATTGTATGCCAAATACCTTCCCCACAAGGCAAATATTGGAAAGGTAGTAGTTTTACGTCAATGCGGACACTAACGTTGTGGACGAATGTAATATTTCTTGATTATTTGCTGTAACTATTATTAATTTATCTGTTACTGACAAAGGAATGTGAATGCTATCTTTACTATCTTGGGGCAGAGAGCGATATTGTAGTAAAGGATGCAACATCAGAGGAAAAAAATGAAGAAAATTTAATTTTTCTTGCGGCTTCAGATTATAGATCTTCTGCCATGGTGGACAGGAGAAAATGTTTTGCTGATTTGGTTGCAAGGTATCATATAATTTAATTTTGGAAAAATACTGAATTTTAAAAGTAAATTTTCCTTAGTTTCAATATGTAAGTTAACAAATGATGTGACGTTGCTGGAAAATGATATTAATAAAGGATCTTTTTCAACCATTACTTTAACATCAAATCGCGTTTTTATATTCGCCTTTCTACAAAATCAAATGTTAGTTTGGGATATGCATACATTAAAGAATAAAAGCAGTTATGAACCGGGATTAAAAAATTTTGAAAATTCAATACTTGGAGTAAAACTACCTCATCGCGGTAGAAAGAATGTTTTTCATTTAATAACTTTCCTTTTTTTTTTCAGTTTCACTTATGCGTTCGAAATTTTTATCTGAATGCTCCACACCTGAGAACACAGTAACGTTTGTATTGTTGCTTATGGAAAAGTATATTGCGATCGGCTTTGGTTTACATTTTAAAATTGCAAAGTAATTGTCTTATACTTATTTTTATTTTAAGATAATGGACACATTAAGTTTCTTTCCATTGCATCGCTAATTTTTTCTAACAATATTGATTTGAGAAATTCTGATTCTCAGAATTATAGTCTGGATGATGAAACAAAATTTTTCATTGGTCATACAGATAAAATAACTGCCATGGTATATCTTGGTATTGTTAACACTGGTGAACCAGTAAAGAACATTTTGATTAGTGGAAGTGCAGACTGTTCCGTTAGATTGTGGAATACGGAGTAAGTAGCTCCTAAGCTTCCTTATTAATTTTACATATTTAGTACTGGCGCCTTGTTAGGCACTTTTATAACTCACGCTGCTTCTATAACTACTCTAATTCCCATCTCATTAACCGCAGAGTCTCCACCTCCAGTTACGGACTATGAAAACACAACTGATGGATTAAACTCAGTTTTACAATTATTAAGGTTAAAAAATGCTGTTTTATCAATTGGAGAGGATAACAGCTTTAGCCTGATTGATGTTGACGAGATTTATTGGTAAAGAAGTTGTAAAATAAAGTGTGACTGTACTTTTTTTGATAGTAAAACTAGATTTGTTGGTCAGCAAACCAAAATTACTAACTTATATTGGAAAGTAAATGACGAAGTTTTAATTGCTGGATGCGAAAGCGGAGAAATTTACGTTTGGCAGGTAAAACTGCTTTGTTAACTAACATCCCAAACATTTAATAGGTAAAAATAGGACATTTAGACAGGATCGAGAAAGGATCCATTGTTGATGACATCCTGGCTGGCTGCGATTGGACCGTTTCGTAAGTGTTCTAAAGATATTTTGAAGTAATATGTGACGGTCTAGTGTTGAATCAATAAACCAGAATCAGCTCAATCATAAAAAAACATTATCCTTATTTAACAATAAATTTCATTCATTTTCAGGTATTTCCAATCTAATACCACACAGTTATTTAATATTACCATTATTTGCTGAAACAGAAAATTCGCCATATTTTACAATTTTGGTAAACGTAAAACGTCTGATAAATGAAATTCATAACGGGCAGTACATTTTATCCCCCACGACAGGAACCACTATAGAAACTAAAGATACAGTGGATTATGTAGGTTCAGATGAAGATGAGAAATGCGCAAAAAAAGTGAGTCTTAATCGCAAAATGGACAGAAAAAGTATATATAAGGAAAAAGAAGCTGAAAATGCGAAGGAGTTGCCAGTAAAGCACAATGCATCTTCAATATCTAATTCCTTTTCCTCAACTCTCGCAAACGTTCAGCATCCTCACTTTCATCACCATATTGGTAAATCTACAGAAAATCAGATTATAGTGAAACCTTCTGAAGTCCAAAAGGTGCTGGAAACT